GCGAATGAATGGATACACGTGGATAAGCAGGGAGAGAAATAGACTCGAACTGATGAGAATCGCAAGGAGAGGAGATATTAATATCTGAGCTAACTTAACTATTGTTTAATAATGATATATATAACTCAATTCAATAGAATTTAATGTTCAATTGAACAAAGATCATATCGATAGATCGATTCCTTTGGCGAATCATGAAATCGAAGGCGTTCGCGAGGTGTATGACAGCGGCAAAGTAGGCGTGGCAAGGGAAGATTTGCACGCCTTGCAGTTGCCTTTCACTTTTCACGCATTCCGCAATTAATTTCCGTTTGATTGTTTCAGTTGACTGCACTGCAGTCACGCCCCCAACGCCCACTAATGCAGCTTAATGGCATTTGGTGTGTGTGTGTGTGTGCGTGTGATTTACGCGCTGCATTTGCTGCCATAAATAAAGCGCTAAGCACAGCAGACGTCGCGCTAGAGTGGGCGGGGAGGCGTGGCTGGGCGCCATTGCCATTGTCGACAAGTTGGTCCTATGACTTTCATTTGTACAGTTCATTTGTTGCCCGCAACAGCAGCACTAGTAGCAGTAGCAACAACAGCAACAGCAACAACAACAACAACAAGGCACCCAGAGATACCCGGCTCATGCTTCCTGCCATTTCCTACGGCTGCCTCCTGCGTCCTGCCTAACTTATAAGCAACCATGTTTATTGCTTCTCCATTGTTGTCTTTGGCTAATTGCTGATGCAGCAACAACAGCAGCAACAGCAACAACAGCAACAACAAACTAACTAGCAACAATTGCTCCCAGGCCATCGATTTTGATTCAATGCTGCAAGAAATAAAGTTTGAACAATTTTAAGGACGCAATTTGTGGCAACTGTCAGTTGCATGCATATATGTATGTATGTATGCATGCAGCATGCGCACAGAATGGGCGAATGGGCGAATGGGCGAGCGCAAACGGCAGCAGGGTGGCTCATGAAATTGAATAATCGCACCGAGTGCCGCACACTTTCGAGGGCAGCCATGAAAAATGGCGTACAAATTGTAAAATTTCACATCGAAAGCCCCACTTGAGTCCAGTTGAAAGCGATTTAACTTTCATAGAGGAAGCGAAGGCGAACAATGAAGAGGAAGACAGAGCGAGAAACAAAGTATTGTCGAGTATTAAATGCGCTTCAGTAATTGCTCCGGAGAGAAACTATTGATGGATAGACATGATGAGTCTTAGTTATGTTAGTTGTGATTGATTGAGAGATTGAATGATTGATCTATTAATTAACGAGCTGACTGATTGAGAGATTCAAATAGATCAAATGGGTTGACTGACTGATTGAAAGATTGACTGTTTGATGGATACAGTGATTGACCATTGGAATGATGGATGGAGTGTTTGACTGACTCGATTGAGAGATTGGAAAAATTAGATAAAGTAATTGAGTAATGGAATGATGGATAGATTGATTGAGACATTGGCTGACTAATGTGTAGAATGATTGACAGAATGATTGAGAGATGGGCTGATTGATGGACAACTTGATATACTAACCGACCAATATAATGATTGATCAACTGTTTAAATAAATGGTTGATTAAATGATTGACTGATTGATTGAGGGATTGACTGTCTGATGGTGATTGACCAATGGAATGATGCATAGAATGTCTAACTGACTGATTGCAAGATTGCACTGTGGTTTTTTTTGCGCTTATTTTGGCATAAAGTCTAAGCTTAAAGCTATTGCAGTGAAATTTGTTTTGTATACATTTTTTATGTTTCTATAATGTTCTACTCAGTTTTATGGAATTTGGAGCACTTTTTCAAAGAGCTGTAATGCAAGTGGCATTTTATAAAAATTAATTAATTTACCTCCCTTAGCTGGTGATTAGTCCTTCGTAATCCTTCCCAAATCTAAGAAATATTAAAAAAATCTAAAACAAACAAGTTTTGTTACATAAGTCATTATAAATAATAGTCAGTTCTCTTGAAGTTCAAAATACTCATCTTCTGAAGCAATAACCTCAAGTCCATCCTGTTCTTCATAATACTCATCTTCAGCTTCATTATCTTGTTCTTCTTCTGGATCAGTATTGCTGGACTGCATTTCAAAATGTGGTGCTAATAACAAAGATATTACTTCTTTTGGCATCGTCTTTCTTTTTAATGAGTTTGGTCGCTGCTTAAAGTGGTTACTAGATAAAAATGGATCAGAACTATCCATGGATCTGTTGAAGACGTCCGTGATATTATCTAGCCGACTACATTTTCTCGAATGGGCGCTTGTATATTTTATTTCGGGATTCCGATGCAGGTTCCCCAAGGCAGCCTACGGGAACTATGTAGGCGAGGGCCAGCGCTCTCGTAAACACTCTTAGGACGACCCATTTTTTGTTCTGTTGTACAATGACCGGAGATTTCTATTATCATGTTTTTTTTTCAAGCCATTTCGCATGCTTTCCTTTAAATCTTGCCAAAGTTGAGTTGCACTTCGGCAAGTGTTTATTAATATAATTTACAAAAGCTTTCACGTTTTCACAATGACACAACTAAGGCTGAACTATAGTTTTACATACCATATTAATTGCTTCAATTGTTTAGAAATGTTCACCAGAGCAAATAATTAAAGTTGAGAAAATTTTCCCGCCAATTTCAGCCAAAGCATTTGCTACATAATCAGCTGACTTTAACAGTACTCACACAGAAAAGTATTACATTACATATGTGTTAATGTTAAATACTTTTTTTACCTAATTTGGGTGTTCTAAAATATTAAATCAACATAAATAAAATTTTTTTTGACTTTATGCCAAAATAAACGCTAAAAAATCCACTGTGGATTGGAAGAATTAGATAAAGTGATTGAGTAATGGAATGATGGATAGAATGATTGAGACATTGGCTGACTAATGTGTAAATTGATTGACAGAATGATTGAGAGATGGGCTGATTGATGGACAACTTGATATACTAACTGACCAATATAATGATTGATCAACTGTTTAAATAAATGGTTGATTGAATGATTGACTGATTGATTGATTGATTGAGGGATTGACTGTCTGATGGTGAGTATGTCTGAAGAGATTGACCAATGGGCTGATGCATAGAATGTTTGACTGACTGATTGTAAGATTGAAAGAATTAGATAAAGTGATTGAGTAATGGAATGATGGATAGAATGATTGAGACATTGGCTGACTAATGTGCAGAATGATTGACAGAATGATTGAGAGATGGGCTGATTGATGGATAGCTTGATATACTAACTGACCAATATAATGATTGATCAACTGTTTAAATAAATGGTTGATTGAATGATTGAATGATTGATTGATTGAGCAATTCAGTTCACTGACGGCCACGTCTGCTGTCTGCTCGCCAGGGCATCAATTAAACGAACGTGCAGCTCATACAAATGTGATTGACTTGCCCTCAAGCTAAAGACATATATTGCTAAAAACTAGAGCTCGACCTGAGTACAAAATACGTCAGATACTTGTGCCTGTCATGCCATCCCAGATGTTTGTTGGTCAATAAAAAAGCCAGCTGGCTGGCATGAGTCGGCGAAAATGGCCGGTCCTTTGTGATGCGGCAAATATATATTATGTCTTTTAGGGTGACACTTCGGAAATTAACATAATAGACGTGGTCCAGCCCGAAGCGACAAGCGACGCGATTTTCGTCGAGTCATTGGGGGCAAAACTGATTTTCGATATTTGATGCGGCACATGCGAGGAAGGCAACAGCCACAGCTGCCACACCATGGGGCACACACACACGCACACACACACACACACGCACACAGAGCATCCTTTGCGCCGTGCTGTGAGTTGCCCTTTGACGAGTCTTAATTAAGACATCGTTACGCGCCATTTTCCGTGCTCTGCTGATGGCATGACAATTGAAGTTTTGGCTTACACACACGCACACACACACACCAGCACACACACATGCACACATGCACACATACACACTCATGCCTGTT